CAGCCTTTCCTCTCCTGAGGTACAGCCCCAGCACCCCAGGCCCCTGAGACATCAGGACAATGTCTCCCTGTTGGCTTTGGGCACGGTGTGTCTCCTAATGCAGACGACGCCATGTGAGCCTTTGGCCCAGCATGCAGCTGAGACTAGCTGGGCTTGGATCCTCACCTGTGAGATCAGCCCATGGGTGACAGCAGGGCTGTCAATGACAGGAGCCCCTACCTGGGACACCTGTGAGCCCACCATGTGCCCCCACCAGCTGCAGGACTCTCAGTTCTGACTCTGCAGGACTGTCGCCTCCTCTGTACCTGGTAAGTCCGTGTTGTCGTGGGAGTCTAGGGAGAGTCTCAGCAGCAATGGGGGCCATGGTGAGGACATGTTCAAGTTCTCCCGACTCACACGGTTCACCCATGCACAGCCACTAACGGGGCGACTTCTGCACGGGCTTGCTTCTGTAGCAACAGCTTTACTCCACAAGGGGTGTCCAGAGACCACAAAAGTCCCCCCAAAGGAGCAGCCACTACTGTGACAGTGTGGGGAGGGACAACAGAGAATGTTCCTAAGACTCGTGTGCCTAATGATCTCCCTACCTCAGTCAATTAATTCCCCCTTAACTGCTTTTGTTAAGAGTAGTTTAATAATGGCTAATTATTCAGTACATTCACAGACTGAATGTCTCACAATCCTCTATTTAATTATTAAATTTTAAAATCCGAGTGTTGCAGCCCTTGGAATAGTGTGTGTGACTGAGCACTGTCGCTTACTGGGAGGCCTCATCTCTTCTGGATTCAGTGCCAAGTCCCTCCTCCCAACAGCTTGAAGGACCAGAGCTGGCTCCTTCTGGGTGCACTAGATGTGGGGGCCGCCGCGCTCCCCATAGTCCTGGGGATATCGTAGGGAGAAACGAGGTCCCCATCTCGTCCCCGAACTTGAATAACGGGAGTCAGAGTGTCACTGCTATCTGGCCAGGAACAGGAGCAGTGGGGACGGGGCTTCAGGCTACACTCAGGCAACCAGCACAACCCTCCGAGTGGGCGGCGCTATCTCCATTCCAGCTGGGGAAACTGAGGTGCAGAGAGGGTAAAATACCTGTGAGGTCATAGGGCAGAACGGGGCCAAGCATCCCCTCCGGAAGGAGCCGCCTGTCTTGAAGCTCACCCGACACCTTCGCCCTCACCCCTCCCTTCCAAAGGGTGCAAAAGCGGCTAAGCGTCCAGGAGCCCTGGGGACCCACGGGAAGGCAGCAGGGACACAGGACAGAGATGGGTGATGAAGGCAGGGTTCTGTCTGCCAACCAGAGCCAGGAGGGAGCCTCCACAGCGCCATCTCCTGGGCATCACTGGTCTCCCAGCACCGCAGCACCATCCTTCATGAGGACAGGAAAGGGAAACAGCAAAGCCCACAGCAGCCAGCAAGGCCAGCGCTGGGTTTCTGTCCAGGCTCAGGTCTGACCCAGGGTTGGGCGGGTCAGCTTCTCCTTGCAGGCCTCCCTCTTGGCTGAGATTCTGGGACCACAGTCAGGAGCTACCGGGAGGTCAGGAGGTCACTCTAAATGTTGCACTGGCTGAGTACTGTGGGTAAGTCGATTGATTGGGGTAGTAGTACCTGATTAGATTCAAGCAGAAAGTCATCTTGGGTCCACCAGGTGTGACAAAACAGCCACCGGGGCATAGACCTTGGCCCCATCCCAAGGAAGTGCAGACAGCCCAAGCCCCACCTGGCCTGCTGACTTCTGCAGGCTGTGTGACCCACAGGGCCACTGCTGGGCACCTCCCTTCACAGCTGGAGAGCGTGTGTCACCTCCCCACTGCCAGGAGCCTGGCACTGCTGCTGGCCCGTTTCAGGCCACCTCACCCGTCGACCGATTCTGTCCCCTTCACATTTGATCTTGCCTGTGCGCCTGTACAAGACCCTGGTATGTCGTCTACACAGACCCTCACCCATCCTGCAGACTCGCCCCACACGCTGGGTGGGGCTGGGGATGGGTTCCTGGAGGTCAGAAAAAGTCACTCCAAGAGTTGTGGGGAAGTAGAAGTTTATTTGGCTTAAGCAGAAAACTATCTGAGTATTTTTCCATAGACTTTAGCAGCCTCCTTGGACTTAATCAGTCCCCTTATTTAGAACCTCAAAGTGCTCCACAGTTTGGGAGGATTGAGGGGAGTGGGCATCTCACTCCCCAGGTGTGGCCTGGTTTCTTTCCCAGGACCCTGCCCTTGCCCCTCCCTGATCAGAGTGCCCAGGACCCTTTCACTGCCAGGCTGCTGAAATGGATTGTCAGCGTGTGTGGGCGTGGGCACCTCATCACAGAGCCTGCTCTCTGCCAGCTGGGCTGGCCGGCGGGCGGTGGGCCGTGGGCGGTGGGCAGGAGCAGGGATGGGTCTGAAGCCATGAGCATCTGCAAACACTCTCCTTCCTCCCTGTTACTCTGTACCCAGGGATATTCTGCCCTCAGGACAGCAGGCGGACCCTGGCTGCGTTGCTCACTGCCCAGCCCTGACGTTTTCTTGAGCTTTTTTTTCCCTCATGATGAACTTTTAACATGGAACGTTTTCTCAAACATCAGCTCTCGGTGGGTCTTGCCGGCATGTGCCTCAGACCCTAGACTACTCAGCATCCTGCACGGGATGCTTCAGCATCCACCCCACCCAGCAGAAGAGGCGCCGTCACACTTCCTTGATGTCATCAAATGCTCAAGCCTGTTTCTACCATGGGCCTGATTGCAGCAGGACAGCAACGGGACCGTGTATTTGGGCCGTCACTGACATTCAGCCCCACTCCTGGCGGAGTCTCTGAGTGGCCGCCCAGGAACCCATCCCCAGCCCCACCCAGCGTGTGGGGCGAGTCTGCAGGATGGGTGAGGGTCTGTGTAGACGACATACCAGGGTCTTGTACAGGCGCACAGGCAAGATCAAATGTGAAGGGGACAGAATCGGTCGACGGGTGAGGTGGCCTGAAACGGGCCAGCAGCAGTGCCAGGCTCCTGGCAGTGGGGAGGTGACACACGCTCTCCAGCTGTGAAGGGAGGTGCCCAGCCAGTGGCCCTGTGGGTCACACAGCCTGCAGAAGTCAGCAGGCCAGGTGGGGCTTGGGCTGTCTGCACTTCCTTGGGATGGGGCCAAGGTCTAGGTCAGCAGGGATTCTGAGGGCCCCGGTGAGGACTGAGGAGGGATGAGGGATAGTTACTATCTCTCAGAGGTAGATGGAGAGGCAAAAAGAGACACGAAGCATTACGGACTCTAGCTGCTTAAGTTAATACATCAGGGTGGGGTTTTTAGACAATTAAATTGACCAGGAAAGAAGCACGCTTTGCGGAACGTAACTCATGTGGCTTTTGCTGAGCAACTGTCTCGGCCAAGGCTCCACTGGGTCTGCCGGCGTGGCCAGGACTAGCACGCAGCTGGAGAAGAGCGGTCTCTGTTCAAAAGGGCAGCAACCTGTCTCCCTGACACCCGAGCGCCAGGCAGCCCTCGTGGCAGCGAGAGGCACGGGTGGGACAAACACCAGTGTGGCAAAAGCTGGGGAAGTCTAGGGATGGTGACAACAGGAAGTGGGGCGATCACAAAAGGTGCCCAGGGATCTCCTGGGTACATGAGGTCTGTGTTCCACCTGCCTTACGAGGCGGCCAAAAATGCTTCACACCTGTGTGCAAACCAACGCTCACTGTGTCGGGGGCACAGAAGAGTCCGCAGTTTTGGCACGGTGTACACAGCCAGCCCTCTGTGGGAGCTAACTCCAACACTATTACCACCAGTGTGGCACATGAAAACACAGACCCGCACATTCACGCCGCACGGAGACACACAGCCACACGTGTGTGCACACACCTAACAGGCCCTGAGTCATGAACCTTCTCCCTTGGCTTTCTCACCAGCAGGGAGTGCGCAGGCTTCGGGGATTGCTTTGGAAGCCACGGGAGCAGATCTCGCACCAGGCCTGGGCTCACCCTGAGCATGGAGGGCTCCACACTGTGTACAGCTGGTACAGAATCACCCGGGGTCTCGAAGATCCCTATCTTAAGCTCAGAGACTGCTTCCAAGAGGAAACACATGTGAGAGCCCTGACGGTGTGGTATACAGCAGGTGCTCAGACATGCTTACAGGTGTGCTGATCAATTGTCGGTGAGCAATCAGCTACGTGATCATGGGCTGTCAGACTGTAAACTGTAGACTGAATCTGCTGTCAGCAAGGGGTCCACACCGTCAACATGCCCACCATAGGAGACCCTGCCTGTGGCCTAATTCAGCCCCACAGTATCTTCCTGAGAGAGGTCAGGGCTCCTCAGCCCTCGGATAGCTCAGATTTCAGTCTGGAAGCTCACTCAAGCTGAGCGTCGAGGACAGGAGGAGGAGGGTGTGGGAGAGAGGGTGACGTGGCAATGTCATCATCCCACATTGGCAGCCACCCACCCGCCACCCCCGCTAACTCTGTACCCCATCCCCAGGAAATCACAGAGTGGCTTTTGATAACCTGCCTGAAATGATGTGCCCTACAGCCCACCCCACCCCCTGCCCGGGCCTCCGCTCTGCCTGGGTGACTCGCCCAGCCAGCACCAAAAACATCCTTCCTTGAACACCTGCAGAGGCCTCCCTGGAGCAGGCAATGCCACACCCTGATCAGAAGACGCAGTTGAGAAGCCATCGGGATACCCAAGGTGATCCAGGGACAGGCTTCCCCAGCAGCGAGACATCAGCCCTGCTGTTACCACCCACAGCTTCGGGTCGCGGCTTCTCCTGGCCATAGTTTTTGGGAAAGTACCACCTAGTCCCCAGTGCCGCCTCGCCAGCATGAGAACTTGTCTCTTCAGGTTTGGAACAGAGACCCAGCAGGTCTGAGAAGGAGAACTCAGAAGGGCTACACGGCAACCCCCACATTGGAGAATGAGAGTTGTGATGGGTCTGAAGGCAAATTCCTCCCACACCCACTCAGCCAGAGCCGTCGTGAAGGCCTTGGCATTCCTGGTCCCCTCACCACAGTCCCGATAGGCAACCCCTGAGGGATCCTACCTCTGGCTGACAGCTTCTTGGTATTAATGATCTTCGCTGCATATTCATGGCCGGTACAGAGCTTGACACAGCGTCGGACCACAGAGAAAGCTCCCCTGGAGAGGATGCAGGGAGAGAGGGAGAGAGAGAGAGAGAGAGAGAGAGAGAGAGAGAGAGAGAGAGAGAGAGAGAGAGAGAGAGAGAGAGAGAGAGAGAGAGAGAGAGAGAGAGAACCAATTAATCTCTCAAAGACACTTGGAACCTAGTCACTGCTAGGCCTTAGACACATGGCCAGTGATCAAAGGAAGCCTGTGACCCCCCCAGTCCCACTTGGCACCGGCAGGGCAGGGTCAGACAAACACTCTTGGGGGGGACCCTGTGAGGAGGAACACCAGCCATGCTTTGAGGAGGTTCGCCACTCCATTCCTGTACAGCACCCAGGTCCTGATCCATCAGTCGGCTGAAATGAGAGGCACCCTGAAGTTCACGATACCCTGGCCTGTCCCTCAGAGGGGAGGCCAGGCCAGCTGCAGGGCACTGAACTAGGAACTGGTGCAGCCGCACATGAGGACTCACGGGAGGTGTAAGAGTGGCATTATAATGCTCAGCTGCAGAGCAGGAGCCAAGGACCCCCGGGATGCGCCACTGTCCCTGTGTCACGGAAGAGGACATGAAGGTTCAGGGTGGGTCACAATAAGAAAGTCCTGGAACTCGTGGGTGTGTGTCAAAGTGGCAGCAGCATCGGGAGAGGCTCTGAATACTTCCCACAAGGCTGACCCACAGAGACCTGCAGCCCAGGAGGGAGCAAGCTGAACCAGGCCAAGCACATCTGTCTCTGTGCCCCTAAGACACTCTCCTCAGAACACATCCCAGACAGTGACCACCACTGTTTCTTTTTGGTACAGTCCTTTGAGATTCACTCCTGGGGAAAAAGAAGTAACTGCTCTCCGTCTGGCTCCTGAGTGACTCGGGCCACTATGGCCAGGAGTCACACTCCACAGCCTTCAATTCCGGGGCTGAGACAAGGTCTCACCCAGGCTGGCCCATGGCCTAGCTGCCGTGGCCCTTCGGACAGGGCGAGGGCCGCTCGGGGCTGGGGGCGGCAGGCGTGGCATGCGTTCAATCACTAGCTTCTTGTCCCGTTTTCCCGCTTATGTGCGAGTTTCAGTCTCAAAATAGCCCTTTGTAAGGAAAACGTAAAGAAAGTCATTGGTGTTATTTTTTTCTCCCAGTTTCTTCTTTTGTTTTGTTTTTGGCTATGTTGGGTGGAACCCAGAGCCCTGCATGCTGTAGGGACGTGCTCCACCTCTGAACTGTACCCCACCCTGAACAATTGTCCTCCACAGCTGCTGTGTCTGCGCTGGCTGGCTTCCTCCTGTCACTTCCCGGTCTCACAGGCGAGCCTCAGTGTCCCCATCTATACAGTGAAGCAGCAGGCCCCACAGAGCGGCTCTCTCTGCTCCAGCCAGCCCCGTCTGCTGTGCTCCCTCAGCTTCCCCCTGCTCGGGACCTGGGAGCGCAACGCCTGCAGCCTGGCTGCGCCAAAGCATGTCCTGTAAGGTCCAGGCCAGCCCCTCACAGGGGGCCGAACCGCAACTCTGGGGTGTCAGACACAGTGTCAGTCGGGAAGCCCTCCACACACCCTCTTACCAGCAGAGCTGGCTCCTGGCTGCTGGCCAGACTCGGGGAAGGACATGAGCGTCTGCGAGCCACAGCTCCCCTGCAGCACGAGGGTGTCCAGACACGAAACTACCAAGAAGAGTGTGGCAGGTGGACAGTCTACAGGCTGCCTGCCCAGTCCAGATGCCCGCTTTCCCTCCGCAGAAGGCTCTGCTGTCAGCTCAGGGTTAGGTCTAGGCACCCAGCAGGGAAGGAAGCAGCCAGGCCTGGACAGCTGCCCAGGGGAGAGAGAACCAGGGATGAGGCTGTGAGGTGGGGAGCCAGGCAGCCAGTAAGTTCTCAGTAGGAGCAGCAAGTGGTGAAGGAGACCCCGGTAGGCAGGAGACCCCATTCCAGCAACTCCCTACTGGGAGAAGGCGGTCCCGGGTGACTGTGGCCGGTGCTGTGCTCGATGCCTTGGAGCCCCCCTCCCTCCCTTGAAGCCATCCTCCAGACCACTGCAGGCATGGGGACCGCAGACTGCCCGCCCCTTCCCCAGTGACTGCCACCTGCCAGATGTCACTGCCAAGGAGGCCCCGCGAGTAGCCACAGGCATGTTTAGCAGGCATCACACAGGTGGGGGCCCTGACACCTGGGACATCGTCAAGGGCAAGGAGACCAGTATCACTGCTGTCCCCCTCAGCACTCACAGCACCTGTCACCCCAATTAATAATTACTGGGAAACGATACGGACAAAGATCCTTGGTCTAGACCGTGACACCGTCCCTGCCTCAGGCTAACTCATATATATCCTTCAAGACCCGATTCAAACAACCTAGTCTCCCCTGAGTATCTCCCCTCAGTCTGTTTCCGTCCCCCACCCCACCCCATACTCCCTAATACCTAGGGCTTCCTTTATACCAGGAAGTATTCTACCATCTAACCCCCTTTTTATCTTTTTAAAGACAACACTGTCACCAATTGCTCAAGCAGACCTTGATTTTTTTAAATTAAGCATCTGTCATTATATTATGATTTTGCTTCTCCATTTTTAAAATTGGGAAGGAAAAATACTTATTTTTTATATATTTTATTTTATTCTTTTGAGAACTCCATAGATGTACACAATGCATTTTTATCATACATACCCCAGCTCCTCTCTCCTAACTCTTCCTGGATTATCCCAACTCATCCCTTTCCCAGCTTCATTTTTCCCAGAGTCCACATAGACCTTAGACTTTCAACCTTCCTGCTTGTCATCTACAGCAGTGGGCCTTAGTTTCTCCACCTTCTTACGACCAATTATCTGCCCATTTCTGCCCTTCTCCACTGAGGCTCTCCACAGACAGGCCTGTGTCCTGCCCGCCCCGAGCTAGGCCCAGCCCCAAGTCTGTCACATGGAAGTCAGAACAGACTGAAAGTGCTCCGGGTGCTTTGGATGTTGGAGCTTCCAGACCTTGGTGCTGGTCCAGCCCAGCAGTTCAGGAGTGGCTGCAGGTGAATGGTGGCCAGACAGAGAGGTAGGAAGCAGGAGGGGCCCGAAATGGTTCATCAGGAGGGGTTCCTGCTTCTATGTAGTAGGCAGACCTCATTAGAGCGGCCCAGGAAAAGGGGGCCACCTACTAACACTGAGTCCACGTGGTCAGACTCAGAACAAGCAGAGCCTGGAGAATGGGCGCTTGAAGCACCTGTGATTCTCAGAAACATGGGCAGGCAGAATGGGAGGTGAGAGCACTCACCTTGGAAAAAACTACTGGCTCCCAAACCAGCCACCTACCCTTGGCAACAGGAGGAGAAGTGGAGTCACGGGCAGAAAAAGATCCAGAGGGAGTCGGACACAAAACAGTCCAGGCTGACGCTCCTGCTAGACACTGCGTGAACTTCATCTGAACACCAAGGTCACCTGTGAGATGCCTGGTGAGGGCCGCCTGCTTCAGAACTAAGGAGAAGGTGATTTGAATAACCTGTTCCGATCACAAGGCCCCAGGGCATCAAGCATATTATAGGGCTTTTAAAATCAAATAAAGCTAATTAAAACAAGAAAATACTCTGAGCCCTGATTTGCTGAGAGCTCCAAATACTGTCTCATTTACAATAGGATCAACAGTACCTAGAAACAGGTCCTGGGAGAAAGGGGGAGAGTTAATTCCATGCAGGATTGGAGCCCTGGAGCTGGGCAGCCTGAGGCCACTGCTCTCCACACCTGCTTCATCACTGGGGTGCAGTCTCCTTTGCAAGCCCCAGAGAAAGGCACCAGAGGAAAAGAATGGTGACCACAGATGACCAGAGGAAGTGTTTGCTCCATCTCCAGGAAGCCCATCTGCCCCACCTTCTCAACAGCTTGGCATCCCTGGGCTGTGACAGACAGTCTGGACACCTGCTATCCCCAACTCTGCTGCCCTTAACAGGCAGCATCTGGCTTCAGGATTTCCATAGGACCTGCTCTGAGATGCCTCCAGCCAGTCCACACCAGTAGCCTGCTGCCTGTTGCTGACACCTGTGGTTCCTGTGAACAATGTCAGAACTCCCTTTCGGGTTCCACTCTGTGGCCCGCTCTGTCCCATACCAGTCCTTGCTAGCTGCAACTTAGGGCTAACCTCTCCTGCTGTCCATGCTGCCCTCTGCTGCCTCATCACATCAGCTACTGCAGGGCTGAAGCTGATGTCCTCAGAGGCGGTGGTAGACCAGTAGTCTCAGGTGTTACTGACTTCGACCAAGATTCCCGCTGGGGAGGATCAAGTCACTTTGACTCTGGCAAAGACTGAGTTACCATGGCTCCCAGATCTTGGAGTATGATTAAGACACTGGTAATGAACGATATACTTTGTCCTCACAGACCCTGTTCAGATGCCCTCTGGAGACATCAGCTACCAAGTGGATAATGGCTGATCATCCCCTAGGCCACGTCTAGGTGAAACGAGATGATCCATGCAGATGCTATACCTCATTGTCTAATACCCAGAAAGCACCAGCCATGATTCTGCTTCTAGGATCATGTAGATAAGGAACAAGTTCCCTGCATCCCCCACAACAGGTCACAGAATGGCTGAGTCAAGGGGGAGTTCTTAGCCACCCCCTCAAGGCTTTGATTCTATTCCCTTTCTCTGCACCCCTATGCCTCATGGCCACTTCTTGCCACCCTGGGCTTCCCTGCCTGTCTTGAGTCTCGGCTGGCGTGAGCCATGAAGCTAACTATTTGCACAAGCACACCTGCCACCAGGACTTTGGCCCCTCTCCCACAAACACCTTTGGTTGCCTGACAACGAAGCCGGGTGCATTTCACATCCTCCCGGAAGCCAGCTACGATGGCAGCTCAGAGCTGACTCGAGGACTTTGCTGTCCACAGAAAGGTTGCTGGCAATTCCTGGGGCACCTACATTTTAGGGGGAAGATAACTGGGAGCCTTAAATAAAAGTCAAAGTCTCAACCCTCCAGGCCCTGTTGACTGATGGATGTTTCCCAGCCAGGTTCATTATCTAAGGATCCAACGGGGTCAGAGAAATGCCCCAGGAACAAGCTTGGTACTCCTAGATGACCCCCAGAAGATCCTCTCGACAGGTCCACTCCATCTGAGCTCTCAGCAGAACACCCGGGCAGACCTCCACAGGGGGTCCCCCTCAGCAGGACATCCCCATCGGTCACCACCGGCTACCCCAGCAGGTAGGATAAGCTGAGCAGGCAATGGTTTGATTTCCTGCTGTAAATTACTAAATGACCGTTTTGAAACCTCCTCCAACCATTTGTCCAATATTCTGACCTGGTCAGCTCCAAGCAGACTCTATGGAGCATGTTGGATTTAAAGGCAAACCGGAAGGTGTGGTCGTGGCACACTGAGGCCTTCACAAGCTATTTATCCTGAAGTTGCTATTTGTGCACTAACCTGAACAAAATACCTTCCTCCCTCTGATCATTAGGCGCTCTTAAAAGTGGGCTGGAGATAAGTAAGGCTCAGAGCAGGGGCTGCTCTTCCAAAGGTCCTGAGTTCAATTCCCAGCACCCACATGCTGGCTCACAACCACCTGTAGTGAGATCTGGCGCCCTCTTCTGGCCTTCAGGGACACACACAGACAAAACGCTGTATACATAATAAACAGATAATTTTTTAAGTGAAGATGAAGAAGCGTTTTCTAAAATCTATCTACCCATCCATCTGTCCGTCTGTCTGTCCATCCATCTGTCCATCTATTTATCCTAATATAAGATGGGGTCCTGGTGTTTTCCAGGTTGACTCTAGACCACTAGTCTCAAGCCTATCCTCCCAACTCAGCCTCCTGAGAGGCTGGGACTATGTGCACACATCAACAAACCTAACCCTCTCCTATTTTAACACTGACCTTAGCAATTTGCTGGAAACACTAATCTCTGCTTGGAACAAAGTATTGATGTTACTGCAAGATTTTTTTTATGTGTTTTTCAACGTCTAAGCAACAATACAGGAACAGAACCCATCTATCCACCTATCGCTATCAGGAACTTCCTTTGCATTATTATAATTATGATCATAGTGTTTGCGAGAGAGTAACCAAGGTCACTAAGAACACACTGGAGTCACTGTGCCCTTGTTAACCTGCAGGTGCGGCTCTGCACCATGACGAGACGTCTTGCTACACAGGAGTAGCTTTGTCTGTTTCCCTGCTCCCTGTCAGTATCGCACACACCGGACACATCTGCAACAGCATTACCTGCTGCGTGGGCACCCCGTGAGGGACCTGCAGTGTGGACCCCACTGCTTCACTGGTCCTGGGATTAGAGCAGGTGAGGAGAGCATTCCAGCTGGATATCATTCTGGACAGAAGCAAAGCCCACAGAGAAGGGCTGGCTTTCCATACCACCCACAGATGGATGGAGGGCTAGCTAAGCCCCCAGGCTGCCTGTCCAGTCCTGCCCAGCATGCAGACATCCCAGATTCTGAGCCCTGGGCTTGACAAGCATTTGGACAGCCCTGAATTCTGTCTGCATGCACACAAGCTCCATGTGGTCTCCAAGCACCAAGCATGGCTTTCTCAGCAACGCTTTGCCTGGAGTTTGCCTTTTCCACGGAATGTTACTGCACACACAAGGTCCCCACTTTGACAAGAGCCTCCTCTTAAGCTGTGGAGAGTGTCCCTCGTTTGACAGCTGAACACTTCTCTGGTAACTGAAGGGTTGCTTCTAATTTGCTATCTCTTAAACAGCCTGCCATGAGCGATTATTATTTCCACAGAGTTCATTTCCAAAAGCACAATCATTGGGTGCTTTACATTAATTTACGACCCTAGCAACACTCAGCCATGCTCCAACTGCCAGGCCCTGGTCATTCTGTCCCCAAAGCTCTCTCCCACTCTGCACTGAGGCATCTGTTTCTTGGTATGTAGATGGATTGCCCCAATCTGTGCCTGAGTGATCACACAGTATGTATGTCTGTGTGATCTTTCCATGACAACACCAGTAAGGTTTTTGGTATGACCCAATTCTAACTTAATGGCATAAGAAACTGCCCTATTTTATTTTTAATTTAAAAAGGTTTTATTTATGTACTTTTTTTGTTTGTTTATCAAGACAGGGTCTCTCTATGTCGCCCTGGATGTCCTGGAACTCTGTAGACCAGGCTGGCCTTGAATTTAGAGATCTGCCTGCCTCTGCCTCCCTAATGCTGGGATTAAAGGAGTGCACCACCACTCCCAGCCCTGTTTTTAATTTTTCGTCGTGTTTATTTTGTGTTTGTTTGTGTGTTCATGTGCTTGTATGTTGTGTACGTGAGGTGGAACATTCATTTTTTTTCAGTGTAGGACTTTTCAGGACTGTGAATCTCCCAGGAGATCAGCTTTCCCTTAACCTATTGACTACAGAAGTCTTCATTTAAAAAAGGCTCCAAGAGAGGTGCCTTGGCCCTGCCTCAACCAGATGATGGGACAGACTTAGTAGACTTCTTAGGGGAGGCCTTACCCTCTCCCAGGAACAGATGGGAGGTGGGCTGGGGGGAGGAGGGGGGGTGGGAGCAAAGGAGGGAGGGGAACTAGGATTGGGATGTCTCAAGAGAACTGAACATTCTGAGGACCGAACACTGACTCCTGCTGGAAGCTGTGTGTGACCTGCAGAAGCCCAAGCAGAGGCTCCTGAAGGGTGAGTGTGGTTACCCATCAGAAAACACACAAATACACACCAGATTCCTTGGCCTCCCCCCAGGACCAGGGCTGACGAGCTGGGAGGAACTGTGACCACATCCTAGGTGGAGAAATCCCTAGCAGGACACCCACCCTCTCTCTACAGTCTCAGTTGGGTAGGGTTGAGCTGAAGGGGGGGCACCCTCAGCTTTCGGTGACCAGGCCTGTCGCCTGGGAAAGGAGCCTGGTCACTGTCACCTCGTGAGTTCGGGTACTGTTGGTGCAAGGATGTCTCTATCGTGTTCACAGCCCTGTGTTAGTAGAGTTCAGCCTCACAGGCTGCAGCACCTCTCGACCTGACCTCTCCCTGCCACAGCTGGACTGTCTGGTTACCCTAGGGTCTCAAGACTGCAAGACCCACGTGCTGGGGTGGTGTTCTGGGGCCAGTGAGGTCTAACAGGCTCTCGGAGCTCCTCCCCACCCAGGCGAGCTGCCCCGAATTCTTCTTGCCCAGCACCCTCACATTCAGGCCTGTCTGAGGTGTGACTGGACCCTCCCCATTCCCATCAAAGTCCCCAGCGTCACAGGCTGGCACAGGATGCTTCTGTCTGCTTCCCATACAGGGACAGGCCCAGGAGGTGGGAGCAGGGCCACAGGCATCCTGGGCTGCTGCCAGTGCAATGGACAGCTGAGGGGCATGCCTGGGCAGAAGCAGGGATATGGGGTGGCTTGTCAGTCACCAGCACTGCCTGCTGACTCTCCTGCCCCAGCAACAGGCCAAGGATTGGCTGTAGACGTGACAACTTCGAGGCAGGAATAGAGCCCGGGACACAGCTGCCGCATGCACAGTGGCTGACCAGCAATGTCTGCCCGGAGTCCTAGGAGGGCACTGTGGGCTGTGTGTCATGTGACTCTGGTTTAGAAGGACCCACAGGCCGGTCCTCGCTTTCCAGCGAGTGACTCCCATCTCCTGGCTCTCTGCTCCTCCCTCCACTCAGGCACTGAATGACTTGGAAATCTGCCCTTGATTTGGCAACTGGTGTTTCCACAGTAAGGGGCCATAGGAACAAGGGTATGGGGTGGTCTCGGGCTACTCAGACCTGCCCAGTCCCCCTTTCTGCTGTAAGATCTGGGATCATCCCCCCATCTTGGCCCATCCCCATCTTCCCAATCCTCCCCCATAATGCACCAGGAAGCACACACCAGTCGAAAAGGTCACACGAGGCTGGCTTGCTCATCTCCCTGGTACCCAGCCATGACTCAGCTGAGACTCATAAGGCATATTAATAAATTCCAAAGGTGAGCATACGGGTACTGGCCTCTCCAGGCTCCACCATGACGATCCTTGGACCACAGAAGTGGTTACCCCCACCCCAGCACAGAGTCAGCAGGTGGCAGCAAGGTCAGACACAGGTGGCAGTGAGGGCATTCAGCAGCACGTTTACCCTAGTGGACACACTTGGAGCAGAAGTCAAGGGGAGAGGATCAAGACTCTTCACTCTGAGCTCAGAGACAGCAAGAAGACTGTAAGACAGTGTGGCTTTGAGTCAGGCAGGCCGGGTAAAATGTGCTCTGGGCAGGTGCCTGCGTTCTGGTGTGTTGCATTTTGCTTGAAGAATGACAGAAAGCAAAGCTGGGGGGCATTTTCTGGTCCAGCATGAAAAGCTTAGGGACTGCCCCCCCTTCCTCACACAGCAAGCTGAACCTGTTAGAGGTCTTTTTTTTTTTTTTTTTTTTTTTTGGTTTTTCGAGACAGGGTTTCTCTGTGGCTTTGGAACCTGTCCTGGAACTCACTCTGTAGACCAGGCTGGCCTTGAACTCACAGAGATCCACCTGCCTCTGCCTCCCCAGTGCTGGGATTAAAGGCGTGCGCCACCAACGCCCGGCCTGTTAGAGGTCATTAACTCTTCCTAGTTTCACGGAGAGCTGGGGTCACAGGCACACTGCTATTTGCCTCTTTGCACCCAGACTGCAGATACAGAGAACTACCGCTCAGCAGAGCTCAGGCTCTGGGAGTCAGGGAAGGGGCGCACTGGAAGCTCAGTGTGGACTGGATAGCCTCAACGGCACGGCACAGCACGGCACGGCACGTCATGGCAGGCACCCTTTTGTGAGTCCAACCTCCAAGGCCCGCCAGCTCCACAGTGAAGTCAGGGGACCTTTCCCCGGGGTTCAGGCAGTGGGAGGGGGACGGAGTCATGTTAAATAACCAGAGTACTTACCAAAGCCTGCTGCCCAGGATGCTGGCTAACTACAGCCCAGCCCCTTCTAGCTGCCCTGTAGCATGTGTGAGGGGAAAGGAAGGGAAGGAGAGGCAGGCATGAAGGTCACAGCGGACACTGAGACCTGGGCATGGAATGACAGAGCCCTCTCCCCGACATGTTATCTCTGGGTCGCTGAAGGCCTGTTTACCAGAGTTGCATCCAACACATTATGCCCATCTCTCAACCAAAAGCTACGGCTAGAAGGACATAGAGCAAGCAGGCTCCCGTGCGGCAGGGAGACGTGAGAACCGGCAGATTGGGAGTTGGAAGCAAGCATGATCAACATGTTTCAGGCGCTAATGGGAAGATTGGAATACACGCAGAAACAGATGGGCGATGTGATCAGAGAGATGGAAATTCTGAGGAAGAACGGGAAAGGCTGCATGTCAAAGACATGGGCAGAAATGCAGAATGCTGTACAGGAGCTCCAAATCGGGCTGGGTGGGGATGGGCGGGGCGGGGCGGGGCTGAAGAAAGGACACGGTCTGGAGAAGCAGCACTGCAAATAATACAACCAAAGGTGAAGAGCAATGGCCAGGACCTGCGATGTGAGCAGGAACGGAAAACAAAAGGCAACACAAGATTGGCATGACGACTGAGCAGGCTCCAAGCCACATGAGTCTAAGGAGTTCAGAAAAAGCAAAGCAGAGTAAGAGCACTGGCTAGCACAGTGACCAGTTTCTCTCTTTTCCTGCTTCCTTTTGTCTTTCCCTTCCTGTCTGTAATGGCCAAATGAGCACTACATGCTCGTTCCATCTCTCTCTCTCCCTCTCTCCCCCCTCTCCCCTCTCTCTCTCTCTCCCTCTCCCCCTCTCTCCCCCTCTCTCTCCCCCTCTCTCTCTCTCTCCCTCCCCCTCTCTCCCCCCCTCTCTCTCCCTCTCCCCCCCCCTCTCTCTCCCTCTCTCTCCCTCTCTCTCTCTCTCTCTCCCTCCCCCTCTCTCTCTCTCCCCTCCCTCTCTCTCCCTCTCTCTCTCTCTCTCTCTCTCTCCCTCCCCCCTCTCTCTCTCCCTCTCTCTCTCTCCCCTCCCTCTCTCTCCCTCTCTCTCTCTCCCTCCCCCTCTCTCTCTCTCCCCCTCCCTCTCTCTCCCTCTCTCTCTCCCTCTCTCTCTCTCTCCCTCTCTCTCTCTCTCTCTCCCCCTCTCTCTCTCCCTCTCCCTCTCTCTCCCCCTCTCTCCCTCTCTCTCTCTCTCTCTCTCTCTCTCTCCCTCTCTCCCCCCTCTCTCTCCCTCTCTCTCTCTCCCTCTCTCTCTCCCTCCCCCTCTCTCTCCCCCTCTCTCTTCCTCTCTCTCCCTCTCTCTCCCTCCCCCTCTCTCCCCCTCTCTTCCTCTCTCTCTCTCTCTCTCTCTCTCTCCCTCTCTCTCTCTCTCTCCCCCTTCTCTCTCTCCCTCTCTCTCCCTCCCTCCCCCTCTCTCTCCCCCTCTCTCTCCCTCTCTCTCTCCCTCTCTCTCCCTCCCTCCCCCCTTTCTCCCCCTCTCTCCTCTCTCTCTCCCTCCCCTCTCTCTCTTCCCCTCTCTCTCCCTCTCTCTCTCCCTCCCCCTCTCTCTCTTCCCCTCTCTCTCCCTCTCTCTCTCTCTCATCTCCCAGTGTATCTTACTTCTCCATTAACTATAGACACCAAATATGTTGTTGCTGCTATTGTTTTAATAAACTATTATCCATCAGATCAAGTAATAGTATTCTTATTTATTCATTTAAAGCTTATTTCATATCACCCTTATTTGTTCCTTTTCTTTCTGTGGATCCAAGTTTCTGACCTATGCCATTCTTTTTTTCTTTTTGAAAATTTTAATGTTCTTGATAGACAAGTTTACTGGTGGACACCCCCCCCGTGTGTGTTTAAGAACTTTATTTCTCCTGAACAATAGCAACGACAATACAACAGTGTATCAGGTGATTAAAGCTACTGGGTAGTGACACCGAGCAACACAGGGAAGCCCACAAGACGATGCACTCACTACTGAGTCCATTCTCTACAGTGCGGCGTTGAGTGGACACAGAGCAACTGTGCATGGACACTGCAAACTCTGCAGGGCCCTGAAAAGGAACGGCCACTGATACACTGGACAGGACGGGGCAAGGGTGAGAGAAAGAGAACGAGAAATGAGATTAGCATATAAAATGTGCGGTTACGTCACAACAAACAGAAAAAAAAGAAACAGGGAAAAAAGAGACAGAAAATAGTAGCTAATATGATAGCTATTAACCTAAGGATATCAATATCAAATAC